CCCCCCCCCCCCCCCCCGTGTTCCCACTCGCGACAACCCACTGTCACAGGTATCAGTAACCACCGCCTTCCCCACAGGTGCCTGAGATCATCAGCTCCATCCGGCAGGCGGGGAAGATCGCCCGCCAGGAGGAGCTGCGCTGCCCCTCAGAGTTCGACGACACGTTCGCCAAGAAGTTCGAGGTGCTGTTCTGCGGCCGTGTCACAGTGGCCCACAAGAAGGCTCCGCCCGCGCTCATCGATGTCACAGGTATCAGTAACCACCGCCTTCCCCACAGGTGCCTGAGATCATCAGCTCCATCCGGCAGGCGGGGAAGATCGCCCGCCAGGAGGAGCTGCGCTGCCCCTCAGAGTTCGACGACACGTTCGCCAAGAAGTTCGAGGTGCTGTTCTGCGGCCGTGTCACAGTGGCCCACAAGAAGGCTCCGCCCGCGCTCATCGATGAGTGCATCGAGAAGTTCAACCACGTGAGCTGCAGCCGTAGGGCAGACTGTGATGCACCGGGGCGGCCCATGCGCAAGTCCTTCTCACAGCCCGGCCTGCGCTCGCTGGCCTTCAGGAAGGAGTTCCAGGACGCCGGCCTGCGGAGCAGCACCTTTAGCTCCTTCGAGGAGAGCGACATCGAGAACCACCTCATCGGGGGACACAACGTGCAGCCCACGGACATGGAGGAGAACCGCACCATGCTCTTCACGGTAAGAGACTGTGGCCTTCTGTTCGAGGTCTGAGCAGTCTTTACAATGGTTAGATGATTTGGGTTTGTGGGTGAATCCATATATTTTTATGGTGTGTAACTATTCTGCATAAAATCCTTATGTTAGGCTTAAAGAATATTAGAAGAAAACAGAGTCCTCTTTACATTTGGATACAGGGTAGCCCCAGCTGGCCTGGAATTGGCTTTGTAGACCAGACTGGCCTCGACCTCACAAAGATCCCGCCTGCTTCTGCCACCGGAGTTCTGGGATTAAAAACCTGTGCCACCACACAGGGGCTAGAAGGAATGGTATGTAAAAGAAGTCCAAAACTAGTGCATATAAATTCCAGCACAGTTCTTCTAAGTGGAAAATATGCTCTTAGTAACATATAAAATATTTACCCTTTGTTAATCAGAGCAATTGGATTTTTGATAACCTTCTATTTGAAACTGATGCCCAAACTGAAATAATTCTTTAGTTTTTTGTTTTATTTTATTATTATTATTATTATTATTTCTGTAAGCAGAAAAAAATGGTTAAGCTGACAACCATGTAACACAGAAAGAATGACTGGATCAAGGTGGCTGTCCCCAGGTAGCCTGGGCTCTAGATGGGTGTGTCCTCCCGGGTGTGAACTGACAGGACTCTTCCCTCTCCTGGCTGGGAGTCTCTCCTCTTGTAGGAACTGGCTTTGTTTCCTGCCTCTGCTGCTTTGGTTTAATGCCAACTTGTGTGCAAAGGTGACTTAAATGTAATACACTTTTTTGTGTTTAACCTGAGGCAGTGAAATGGCCAAGGAGTAAGGAAGCTAACCATGTAGGTTAATACTGTGGGTACTTGTGGATTTAGAATCCAGACAATGTAGCAGAAGGGAGTTACCGTTGACCTAGTATATAAAAGAGTGCCGTGTTGGCAGCAAGACTTGTGCTTTAATTTGTCACCTATATGTTTTGTCTTTTCAAAGTACTCATGGTGCTGTTGAGAAAGCTGCTCAGTATATTTGTGAATGCTTACTATATGGCTACAATATGCTAAAATACAGCAGTGAACAAGGCAGGAACACTCTGCCCATTGGAATTTAGATATCAGCAAGACAGACAGGCACCTTACAGTAATTATGTAATTATAATGACAGTGAATGCTGGGAAGAAGTAGAAGATATTGTAGGAAAACCAGGGAATCAGGAGAGGCATCTTTGAGGATACGATTCTCAACAAGCAGAGGTTTCCGTGTGACCAACTGGCAGGGTCTCTGGGTTCAGAGAGCAGCAGGTGAGAAGGTAGGAAGGGTGGGGTGGAGCAGTTCCGCAGGTTCTGGAAGCCATTGCCCTGTTGCTTTGCATGGCAGGCCCCCTCAGTGGTCCAAGGTCTTGTCTCCCTGCTTCATTCAGCTCTCTGATGAGATGCTGATATGACATGGAGTAGTCTTGTCAGTGAGACCAATAACAATCCCCATTACTGCCTCTGCTTAATTACAGGCAAACAGAGTACTTTGTACTCCATGTGACCCCAAGAATTCTAGTCTCCATGAGGGTGTAGTTCTCTGTCATTAGTGTCCTTCACTACTGTCTGAGCACATGCCTCACATCATGGTACGCTACTCTCATGGGTGTCAGATGCTAACTCAATAAGCCAGAACTGATTCATGCTGGTATTTTAACTTTAAGTCAGGTAAATAGAGGATAGGTGACAAAAGTGTTGCATATACTCTATAAGTGGCATGGTTCTTTTCACAATATTTTACAGAGAATGTGACAGGTTAAAAAAATTATCATTAGAAAGTGTTTTGGAAATTTTAATAGAAACTTCTATTTTCTGAAATACTTGTATAGAAAATTCATTTCCTTTTAAAGGGGCATGTGGGCTTTGATGTTTATTGCTTACTTTTGGATGTCTGATCCTTTCCTCTCAGAAGATTGCTGTCTTATTAGGTGACTGTTCTGTATTTGTCATGTGTCACCTGAAGTCCATGGCATAAAGTGTAACCTTTGAGGCTGTTCTTTACAGTCATACAGTTAGAGTTTTGTAACAGCTTACCACTTCCCTTTTAATTTTCATAGCTCATGACAAGTATAATGAATTTGAATTCAGTTTTTATGAGAAGCTCATTTCTCTTCATTTGTCTTTTAAGATTGGCCAGTCTGAAGTTTACCTCATCAGTCCTGATACCAAAAAAATTGCATTGGAGAAAAATTTTAAGGAGATATCCTTTTGCTCTCAGGTAAATAGAGATGGTTATTGATTTGATTCTAGTTCCTTTAGCATCAGTCTCTTACAACAGAAGCACTATTTTGAAGCAAAGTGTATTTTTTAAGTAATTGATTGGTGATCTTTATTAAGGCAAATTATAATCTTAAAATTAAGAATTTTGCTTTTAGCAACATTGGAGAAAATAGATTGTTCTGGTTTGTTTTTCCATTGCTGTGACAAAATACCCTGACCAATACCAACTTAGGGAGGAAAGGGTTTATTTTATCTTACATCTCCTGGGTCACAGTTCATCACTGAGAGAGCTCATGGTAGGATCTCAGGGAAAGAACCTGGAGGCAGAAGCTGAAGCACAGGCCATGGAGGAATGCTGCTTCCTGGCCCATGCTCATCCTGATTTCTTATACAATACAGCACAACCTGCTGAGGGGTGGTACTGTCCACAGTGGGCTGGGCCCTCCCACATCACTCAAAAATCAAGAAAATACCACACAGACATAGTTACAGGCCAGTCCAATGGAGGCAATTCCCCATTTGATGCTTCCTCTACCCAGGTCTGTCAGCTTGACAACTAAAGCTATCCAGCACATAGATCTACTTTTCTTTCCTCTCTTTTCCCTGTTATTGATAGTAGTTCTTACTAGTTATTCCCCAGGGCATACGTTTGTGTGCATGTTTAATATATATTTGATATATCTAGAGTACATAGAAACATTTCTACATTATAGAAATTCTTAATTTTTTTGTATTATTTCTTCTGTGAAATATGAGAGATAGTGCTTGTCTTTGAGGGCATTTTCCCCACAGTACAGAGTCTATTGGAAATCTTTGGTAATTAACCTCCCTGCTATGTTTCCTAGAGAGATTTTGGAAGACTCTCTCAAGGATGATGAGTTATGCCAGTTTTCCTCAAGGTTGTTCTGACAAACAAGAGATCATTTATGTTACTGTTTGGCTCTTCTTTTTTTTTTAACTCTGACTTTTCATTTTTAAAATTAATAAGATATAAAAATCTCAAAGTTTGTTGATCTATAATGCAAGCTACTTAAATAATCAAAAGGATTGTTTTCAAAATATGGAAATAATGTTCTTAATGAGTTGAATAGGGAACCATTTTCAAAGAAGTATTTTTGTAAATCACATTCCCCTAAGTAGCCACTTCTGTTATATGTTCCAGTTGTTGTTGGAGAGCATTGAGAATCAGGATATGTCAGCAATTACTGGAAAGCACTTGGCCTGAAAGTCATTGTCCACAGACCTTTGATCTTAATTTGCTATTTAGGCTGACATGTTAATGTTAGACATTTGCTTTTTTAGTGATAGTTCATTATTTGCTAAAGAGGCACAGACTGTAAGTTTAAGTGGCTTTCTGAACTTTTAAGTTATGAGCACCCATTTCTCTGCATGATGGTGCTTTCAGAATACCTTGACATACTAATATTTATAGAAGATATTTAATTTGTATTCAGATTGCTGTCTTCGTTTCCTTTCCTGTTGTGATAAAATATTCTCACAAAAGCAACTTGAGAGAGAAAGGGTTTATTCTGTCCCAGGTCTGGATTATAGTCTGTCATGGCAGGAAGTCACAGCAGGTGCATGCATGTTAGTGCTCCCTCTCTCCTTTTCACTCAGTCCAGGGCCCAGCTCATGAAATGGTGCCTCCCACATTCAGGGTGTATCGTCCTACCTCATACAATGTTATCAAGATAATCCCTCATAGACACTCAGAGGCCCTTCTCCTAGGTGATTCTAGACTGTGTCAAATTGACCATTAAAACTAACCATCACAGCTGCTTCTGATAGCTTATGCTTTCCGAAACAAGTTTGTGTGTATATGTTTATTAGAAATAGCTCTTAGGATGTGGAGGCAGAGTTTGGCCTTAGTATCTTAGGTTTCAAAGCTTCTCAGTGTATATATATCAGTTTTTGTTTTTTTCCTCATGTCAGTTCAGTTCTGTATTTACCTTTTTGGTGTTTAACAGTACAACCACATTTCAAATCTTTTTAAAAACCTTTTTATGCGGGTTTTCTATCCATGTTTATTCAAGTGTATTGCTATGAATGCGTGTCTTAATCTGTGGTCTGCTGTTGATTTTTTTAAGTATTTTTTTATTCCTTAATAACCCCCAAAGTTCTAGTTTTTCTGTAAGCTATTTTCAACTTCTTATTATCAAACTAAGCAGTAAAACTTGATTTTTCAAACCTTAGTTCTCATTGGTGAGGTAACATATTACTATACGATGCTGATCCTCATTTTACTTAAAAATAGCCAAGAAAATAGTAATTTTATAATGCTTCTTAAATATAAGAAGCATTTCTGTCTGCAGCATTTCTTGCTGCATTTCTGTCAATAGTGTCTCTGTCCAGTACAACTTACCCTCCTTCTTGCTCCTTCCCCACCTTCCATAGGGCATTAGGCACGTGGACCACTTTGGGTTTATCTGCCGGGAGTCCTCAGGTGGAGGTGGCTTCCATTTTGTCTGTTACGTGTTCCAGTGTGCAAACGAAGCTCTGGTAAGAGGATAGCACTTTACATGGTTGGGAACCTTGTGAGGAATTACAGCCCTGCTCATTTTTCTGTGCTTAGCAAAACTATGTAGCCTCACTGGCATATCAATATTTGGCTTCAGTTATTCACTCATGACTAATAACTATCTGGAACACATCTGAGATTTATTTGGATGTTCATTTAAAATTTTCAGTAGTTTGAAAGGCATGCTTGCTCTCACCCTCTGTTCTAATGTAGTATTAAAAAAATACCACTTTGAGCCCAGTGTTGTGGTGTTCGCCTTTAATCTTAGCACCCAGGAAGCAGAGACAGGCAGATCTCTGTGAGACTGAGGCCAACGTGGTCTACCCAACAAGTTCAAGACCAGCTGGGAATACAGGCCCCCAAACCAAAGTAAAACAAAGCACAGCATAAAACCATTTTGGCTGAGTGTAGTAGGACTTAATCTTTCTTGTAAATCCCAACACTCAGGAGTCTGAAGCTGGAAGATTGCCAGTTATAGGCCACCTACATGACAGGTTCAAAGCCAACCTGGGCTACATGCATGCATGCTAGTGCACAGTGAGACCTAGTATGGGGAAGAAAAAAAGGAAGAAAGAATGAATTTACAGTCAGAGGCACTTTTTACTTAGAAATAGTAGTTTTACCTTGTAGCTTACCTGCATTAAGAATGTAGGATCTTGGGGCTGAAGAGATGGCTCAGCAGTTAAGATCACTGGTTGTTCTTGGAGAAGACCTGGGTTCAAATCCCAGCACCCACGTGGCAGCTAACAACTGTCTATAACTCCAGTCCCAGGGGATCTGACAGCTTCTTCTGACCTCCGTGGGCATTGTACAACAGGGGTGCACTTACCTACGTGCAGGCAATACACACATACACATAAAAATAATAAAAAAATTTTTGGTCTTTTTGAGACAGGGTCTCATTGTAGCTCCAGCTGTCCTGGAACTCACTATGTAGACCAGGCTGGCCTTGGACTCACAGAGATCTACCTGCCTCTGCCTCCCAAGTGCTGG